ATAGAGTTTAAAGAAATTGAGCTGTCTCCAAACCATTGGGGCATAATACCGGCTTTCAGATTGACGATCATTCTCCGTGACAGCTGTCGACCAATCACAGCACTGGACTATTATTAAAGGACCGACAATCGTATCGACTGGCTTAAACAAAAAGAAAAAAAAAGCATTGAATGGTTCTTGTTTGAATGGTAGTCAATATTACATTTCTACCTTTTTTTTATCTTTGCTTTCTTTTTGCGTGCTTTTAACGTTTATAGTTTCCAGAATTGCATAAAGAAATGTAAATACAAACATGATAAAAAGAGGAAAAAAAAACATGTTCAATTTCTCACAATATATACAGTAGAGCCTCAACACCGCTAGAAATGCTAACCGTCAGTATCTCATCATCCGCGGTATTGCAAAGTGGGGTTTCAATTATATGCGGTTAACACAACAACATTTTTGCAAACTTTTTTTAATCATTTCACCCAAAGCAAGGCAATAAAGTCACGAAGACTCAAGGAGGTACTGATTGTAAAAGAATATGATAAATGAAAAAAATAGTATTAAGGAGAGAGGACAATAAAAGAACAAGAATTAAGAAGACAGAAGATAATGATTGACATTGCATTTACGTTTTTGAAGATCAAAGGCAATAAAGCCACTAGGACGCAAGAGGTTAATGAGTGTTAGAGAATATGAGAAAAACTACTATTAAGGAGAGAGGGCAATAAAAGAAAAAGAATTAAGAAGACAGAAAATAATTGACATTGCATTTACATTTTTGAAGATGAAAGTTAACCGAGAAGTAAGAATACGGAAGAGAGTTCCACAAGAAACTGTTAGCACAGAACTTATGGTTCCATATAGTAAATACAACTGTAAAATGATGAGACCTAGCTGCCAATCTAGCACTGCGATTAGATTCATAAAATTGAGGTCGGTGGCAGATTCTTATTTGGAACATATCAAGAATCTCTGAAAACATAGCAGAAGCAGCAGACCAGATGTAGAAGAAATATTCGATGTATGAACAAATGATAGACTCATAGATCTGGAAGACAGATTCTGGCGGGAAAAATTGTCTAGCACGACACAGTGAACAGTGAACGAACGTTCATAGCAGGAGACCTAGTTAAGGAGTCAATGTAATTTTTCCATTTCATATCAGCGGAAAATGTTAACCCGAGAAGACGCAATGTGTCATTCTCCTGGAGTCATGCTGATTAAAGGCAGAAACGGCTGGGTTAAAATTAACAAGCCATTCCTTGCCCCAGTTAACAACAAATTGTAGGTCATTTTTTTTATATCCGCCGCCAATTTGACCGTCACTTACCGATCAGACAAGAGTAAATAGTTATGTCATCAGAACAGAGACTAACTTGACAACTGATGACCTTGAGAAAGTCATTGATGAAAATTAAGAACAACTTAGGTCCAAAGATAGAGTCCTAGAGGGACACCTACATTAATGCAAAAAAATATCTAGAAGAGTGGTTGTTGAAGACAAATTTTCTTTTGCGATTTGATATGAAAGACAGAATCAAATCACAATTTCGTCCAGAAATGCCATAACCTTTCAACTTGTGAAATGGCAAAGACTGTCAAATGATTTCGAGATATGCAAAGCAACCCGAGCTTTTTATCAAAGCTTGATAAATTCTTTCAACAATTAACATATCTACTTGTCTGAAAGAAGATCTTGCGACATGAGATGCTTGATCAATTTGGAGTTGATTAAAACCTCAAGCGTCGCAAGAGAGAAAAGAAACAGCCATCCAAACCGTGTAGTGTAAAGGAGGCCATTATACTGCCAGTAGACACCTTGTCTATCTGGACATCAGTTAGGTAGCGTTCTATTTAGGAAGGGAAATAACTCCCACTATCTCTCTCTCTCTCTCTCTCTCTTTACACTCTCACCCATTGGATGTGGTAGGCATAAGACGTTGTCCAGTCTTCCTTTGAAGAGACACACAACGGCTAATCCCCTAAATGTTTTTTTTCTTTTCTTTGTTTGTGGTATATGTATACATATAAGTATAATTTTCTTTTTTCTCTTCAGTGGAGTTCAATATTAATCTATCTATCTATTTATCTCTCTCTTTCTTTCTCTCTCTCTCTCTCTCTCTCTCTCTCTCTCTCTCTATATATATATATATATATATATATATATATATATATATATATATATATATATATATCTGAATGTAATGAGAACGAAATTAATATATAAATTCTAACGTTCACAGCATTAATTCAAAAGAGGGCTCAATACCGATAGTAGAGCAATAATTATTTATTATAATTTTTCATATAAACAAACATAATTTACTCACTACAAAGATGCAACTTCGTTTCGGTGAATTTAATTGCATTTCGACTAATGAGAACCAAAATGGTTATGAACAATTCTGTTTGTAAGCATATATATATATATATATATATATATATATATATATATATATATATATGTAAAAGGTAAAAATGGTGGCGGCGTGAAACAAGAGCGCATGTTGATAGCAGTTTGGTGAGCAGTTTGTTTTTCAAACAAATGGAAAAAAGGAAGTGACGTTTCACATGCGGCTTGCTTACAAACCGAATAGTTCATAACCATTTTCGTTCACACCAGTCAAAGTGCAATTAAATCGCCGAAACGAAGATGCATATTTGTAGCGAGTAAATTGTTTTTGTCTATATGAAATAATTATAATATATATATATATATATATATATATATATATATATATATAATCATCCAACTGAGGAATTCGTTTATTTTGAACGACTTCTACTGTTATATGCAAATCCCTAGTCATGGGTAAATAGAAGAACAGACTAGGTCTTATAGCGTTGGGTGGCAACCGGTCTATGAGAAGGAAAACTCTGAATTCAGAACTCTATGTGGGCCTGACGTCGCACATACTATGCAGCTAAAGGAAAGGATTGATCGTATTGACTCTAGGACTTATGCGTTAATACTCTTTAGAAAAGTATGAATCCATCTCTTCTCTTCATCACTAGCTATGGGTAAATAGACTCAGTTCTATAGCCTTGTGTAGCAACAGGTCTATGAGAAGGAAAACTCTGAATTCAAAACTCTATTTCGCCATGGTGAAGCACATATTATACAGCAAAGGAAAGAATCGTTCGTTTTGGTTCGATGATCTCGACTAAAATCGAAACCTTGGTTTTTCTACCGCGTCTCCTACAAACGGAGCTATGGGGATGAACAAGATGGAATACTCGGAAAAATTAGCTAACCAATCGGAAACTGTCACAGATCATGAGCTACTTCATGATGAACGTATACATACAGTTGACTCATGAATTCGTTAATGTAACACACATGTACAGCCTTCTCAAATTCACACACACACACACACAAAAGGATATTCCGCCGAGGTTTAGGGATTTGGTTCAAAGAAGGACTAGCCTCGTTTGAATCTACATTCTTTAATCGTTCAAAGCCTCTTTTAACCGTTGATCTTAGAAACCGGTTTTATACAACTGATAGTTTAGATATTTCTGAACAGGTTTTTGATAATATAGCACAAGTTTACAAGTTTCACTTTTATCGAATTTTCCAGTATTGATGGGAGTTTCCTTTCCAACCTTTTGTTTGAAGTCGTGTGGAATGTCAACATCTGGATTTTGTCATTATTTTCTCTTCGAGTTACATGTGCTATCCATTTGAGTTGTTGCTGCATTTATTGAAAGTCCACAAGTGAATCTGGTGTGTATTATTTACTACAGTTTCTTTATTTGTGATTGTGCGGCGCCAATTCAAATAGTTACGGGCTACATCCGCTCGAAATCATTTTTACCATAGATCTGAGATAGTAGTTGTATACCGATAACAGATTAGATATTTCCGAACGATCTTGGCATCAGAAATAGCATCTATCTGAATATCTTAATCTAACAAGTCAATTTAAGTACATGACTCAAGATGTTTTGGTTTTGTAGCAGCTTGTGGTGTTGTGTGAAACTACTCCTGACACAGCCTCTTCCATTTCCTGATTTCCTATACTAAATTTCTCATAACTCATCCATACACTGAGGTATTTTAAGTGTTTCTTTTATTTAGCGTGTCCCTTCAGGACGTAGGTTTCATGCTCCTCCACATCTTCCTGTCCTTTGTAGAACTTTAAAAATTTTGTCGTTTTGCTATTTTTCCAAAACCCTCTTCTGCTATACATTTACTCTAGTCCATCAAAAATGTTACGCGCTGCTTTCCTCTGCCCCTCAATCTGACATGTGAGTATCAGTTTTACCAAGCCCTCTTTCCTCATTACGTGTGCCAGAAATTTCAATTGCCTCTTCCTAATGTTAAGTATAAGTTAACTTTTTGTTTCCATTTTCTCAAAAACCTCGTCGTTGCTCTCATGTTCGGTGCATGACATTCTCGGCATTTAGATTTAGGAGAGATAACAAAATGTTAAAATTTATTAATGCTTACAAAGGACAGGAAATTGTGGAGAGCCGTGATCACCAACGTCTTGAAAGGACACCACACATAGAAGAAGAATATAATGACATAGAATGCAAAATTACTTGCACTATTTTCCTCTTATGTCAGATTTTTGTCTAGTTAAAAGTTAGATGCTGATTGTCAAAGCATAATTTCTTTTCCTAGAGAAGTGGCGCAGCACAGTCTTCTTAGTTTGCATTTTTCTCAACATGGTCTTGAATTGAACTAATGTGCAAATATATTTTTTCGATATTTTAATTGTTATACAGGGTTATCAGCAGTAAAGTAATGAATAGCAAAGAGATCTATCTTCAGAAAGTTTTCTACTATTGATGTACTAGAGTAGATTAATAAAGATCTTTTATACGCGAGCAGACGCTATAAAGCAATAAAGAAGTCAGTTGTTAGTGTTCAAAATCCTGAATGCTCCACTTTTGAGGCCTTGTGCCATACTAAACTAAGTTTAATAAATATTTCTAATACGTTACCAAGTAATAGTTTTACTATTTTTATTCGAACTTTCTTTTCAAGTGTCTGTTTGCTCCAGTTGTTTCACATTTTCTTTGTTTTCCTATTTTTCTTTCTTTCTTTCTTTCTTTCTTTCTTCTGTACATCTATCCATTGCTCTGTCCCTTCTGTTTGCTTTCTTCCGTCCTTAGATCTCTTCATCACTCGCTCTATATTCTTTCTTTCTTTCTTTCTTTCTTTCTTTCTTTCTTTTCTTTCAGTGGTCCATCTATGAATTCTTTCTTTCTGTTTTTTTTTCTTTTGCACACACGCGCGCGCACACACACACACACACACACACACACACACACACACACACACACACACACACACCATGCTTTTTCTTTCTTTTTCTTTCTTTCTTTCTTTCTTTCTTTCTTTCTTTCTAAAATACACTCATCCATGTATTCATTATTTCTCTGGTTCTTTCTTTTTTTCTTAAGCACATCTAGCCATTCCTCTATCCTTTCTTTTTCTTGCTTCTATCCTTCGATGCCTTCATCCATCACTCTTTCTTTATTTCTTTGTATTACACACACGCACACACACTCACACACACATACACACACAAATCATGCTTCTTTCTTTCGCATATGCATTCTTCCCTGTATTCTTTCTTATGTACATCTATTCATTCATCCATTATACCTTTGGTCACTTCATCCATCACTCTTTCTTTCTTACACGCACACACACACACATAATGCTTATTTTTATCTCTCTTTCTTTCTATTTCTCTTTCTTTCTGTTTTTTCTTTCTTTTGCACACACCTATACATCAGGTTTAATTTCTATCTCAATTTCTTTCTCTTTTTTTTTTTTTTCTTTTTCTCTTTCTTTCAGTTGCACACATACACACACACACATCATGCTTATTTTTATCTCTCTTTTTCTCTTACTTTTGCGCGCACACACACACATATCGTGCTTATTTTTTATCTCTTTCTTTTTCTCGTTCTTTCCTTCTTTCTTTCTATTGCACACATGCACACACACATACACATCATGCTTATTTCTATCTTTCTTTCTTTTTCCTTTTCTTTCTTTCTTTGCACACATATACACACATTTACACATCGTGCTTATTTCTACCTCTCTTTTCTTTTCTCTTTCTTTCTTTCTTTCTTTCTTTCTTTTAAGCATCCATCCAGTCTTTTTCTCTTCCTTTGTCCTCATTTTCTTTGCTTTGTTTTCTTTTTCTTCTCCTGCCTTCCTTCTTTCCTTTTTCTTTCTTTCTTTCTTTCTTTCTTTCTTTCTTTCTTTCTTTTCGTAAAGATAACAATTTTCAATCTTCTTTCTCGTAAATCATAAAGAAAACTTTTTCATCAGCTTTTTCAATTTTGTTGACCCCCTTTCTTTTACAAAACGTTTAATCTTCATTCCACTCTGCATTTTTGAACTTCTTTTTTATTTGCCGGAAATTCTTTATTGCCGGCTGGAACTGGTGCCAGCCTGATATGAACAATGGATTTTGCAGTCGACACCAATTCTTCAAAAAACCAACATCATCATTATCATCATTATCATCATCATCACCACACACGACGACGACGACGACGACTATCTGACGTTGCTTTTAGTGGGGTAGTCATAGTAACCAGATTTCTTTTCTTCTAGTTCTTTTGCTGCTGTTACTAATTACTAACCACGGTATTTCCTCCAGTGTTTGGCACAAGGATGAATCATCGAGTAAGAACTGAAAATGACTTCAAAATCTTAAGAGATGACCAAAATGTTACTGATTTTATGAAGTGACGTTTTCATGCCTTTTGTTATTTTTCGCTTAGTTTCTGGATATTTTAATACATTCACCAAATAGAAAGATATTTTAATACATTCGCCAAATAGAAAGCTATTTTAATACATTCACCAAATAGAAAGATGTTTTAATACATTCACCAAATAGAAAGATATTTTAATACATTCGCCAGATAGAAAGCTATTTTAATACATTCGCCAAATAGAAAGCTATTTTAATACACTCACCAAATAGAAAGATATTTTAATACATTCGCCAAATAGAAAGCTATTTTAATACATTCACCAAATAGAAAGATATTTTAATACATTCACCAAATAGAAAGCTATTTTAATACATTCACCAAATAGAAAGATATTTTAATACATTCACCAGATAAAAGCATTTTAATACATTCGAAATAGAAAGATATTTTAATACATTCACCAAATAGAAAGCTATTTTAATACATTCACCAAACAGAAAGCTATTTTAATACATTCGCCAAATAGAAAGATATTTTAATACATTCACCGGTCCGAATGCCACTGAAGGTGGAGCGTTACTGAAGAATGTTGTCTGAACGAGAATGTACGAATTGAACATTATGAAGATATTGAAGATAATGTCTGACACTAAACCATAACCATCCTCAGTATGACGATAGACTACATCCGTGTCCTGTGTAAGACGTTAAACTACGTCCAGCAGCAAGGCCTCTGATCAGGAAGTTTTGAGGAGCGTGGAACCACCTCTTAATTGCTGGTGTTTCCAGGTTTACCCTGACCCCGGTTGGTAGTACCTGTTAGGGTCCCAGCTATGGGTAAATAGTTAACCCTAAAACTGGAGTCAAAACACTATGAATGTGTAAAAATAGGTTTTAATACCAGAAATAATTTGTAAAAAACTATTACCAGCAATAAATTTTTGATGAAAAATTATTACCAGCAATACATTATTATCAGCAATACAATTTTGAAAAAAAAAATTACCAGCAATACATTTAAAAAAAATTACCAGCAATACATTTTTTAAAAAAAATTACCAGCTATGAATTTTTAAAAAATACTAGAAATACATTTAAAAAATACCAGCAATACATTTAAAAGAAAGCAAAATTACCAGCTATAGATTTAAAAACAAGAATTACCAGAAATACATTTTAAAAATACCAACAATACATTTAAAAAAATACTTGCAATATATTTTTAAAAAAAGTAAAATTACCATCTATAAATTTTTAAAATTACCAGAAATACATAAAAAAACAACAATATTACCAACTATTTATAAAAAAATTACCAGCAATATATTTTAAAAAATTACCAGCTATTATATTTACCAGCAATATATTTTAAAAAATTACCAGCTATTATCATTTTAAAATAATACCAGCAATATATTTAAAAAATAACAGCTATAAAAATAACAGTAATACATTTTTAAAAATATCTACAATACATTTTTTAAAAATTACCGGCAATACATTTTTTTTAAAAATACCTGCATATGCATAGCTGGTAATTTTGTTTTTATTTTAAATATATTATTTAAAATAAAAGCAAAATTACCACTATGCATTTTAAAAAAAATATACCAGACATACATTTTTTAAAAGAATCAACAATACAGTTAAAAAATATTACCAGGAATACAGTTTTTGAAAAAAAATATTACCATCTATAAAAATCATGTAAGCACTAAATGACCCCTTGAGGTGTTGATATGCCGTAAAACAAACCAAATCAAACTAAATCTAAAGAGGTTAATATTGTAGTTATCGAGCAAGCATCCTCTCGGACGTCTGTTGCACAAAGTCAAAGTTGTGGCGAGAAGCTGAGTCGAACCCAGTGGTGAAATATGAAGAAAATAGAATGAACCGACTCTGTTTATATTGTCAGATAGGCTCTAGCTGTGAAGGTCTGAACTGGTAGAATTAAGGTCTGGTTATTTGTTATGAAAATAGCAATAGAGTAGCAAGTGGTTAGTAACTTTTATTCTATGTGAAATTGGGCTGTAAGTTAAAAAAATAAGTGATTACACACGAGAAGTAGTTCTTTTTTTCCATATATAGTTGTTTTTATATTCTATTGAATCACGTGACAAGTCCAGTGACCATAAGATTCAAGAGCATCCAGACACACTCTTCAGTATTCTACGCGAGTAGAGTTTGCAATTAGTGTCACGACTAGTGATGGTTACAGATACAACAGCAGGCTGACATTACGGATGACCTATTCACCTGATTCATGCCTCACAGGCTCTCAGGGGCTGTAGATATATAAACAGCCACCCGAGATGGAACACATAGAGATTCACTTCTATCCTTGTGAGAATCCACATTCACATGCTCTTTCACAGATATTAATTAATGAGATTCGGAGTTGAATAAACAATAATTTGGAGAATAAAAGATTTTGTCTTGCGTTCTCATTCATCTGTACAACGTTGAATATTACACATTAAAATATATTAAAATTGAAAAAGAATACAGATAATAGAAAGATATCTAAGAAGCAAAATATGCAAGCAAGTTTCTGTTTGGACAAAGGGGAAACTTAAGACTAAATTGATATAATAATTCTAGTCTGGAATGTCGTCTGATTTCATTTGATTCTGCCTCGGATTTCCAATTCTTCCAAACGCTGAAAATAGCTCTATATGCTTTCAGTCGTTTGAATTATAATTCAAACGAATGAAAACATAATTATCAAATCCCAATCGTTTGTACAATTCCCAGTCGGTCACCTGTTCTGCCCAGTCATGTCATCCTGTACTCATTCTTAGAAACTGTTTCTCTGCTATCTTTCAGTCAAATACATAAAAAAATTACCCTAAAACTAGAGTCAATATTTAAATAATCTCAGCTGATTGAAACGTTCATATGGATGCCATGTACGATGTCAAACTCGTTTAGAAATATCTAAGCTGTTCGTAATATACAAACGATTTCTTAGACTGATGCTTAAAAATAATAAATTTAAAAAGCCCAACTTTAAATTAAAAAAATTTCAACTTAAATTTAAAAAGTTCAACTTGAAATAAAAAGGCCCAAATTCAAATTAAACACATTGACTTTCAAACTAACAAAGGTTGTATTTTAAATTAAAATATATTATTAGTGTAAAAAGATGCAGCAAAACTTTATTGGTGCAAAAATGATGTAGAATTAGTTTTAAACGAAACGAACATTCAAAGACGGGTAATTAGAAAGTAACCAGTTCACAATTGATCCCCCATTTTGAAGATCATGCCGCACTTAGTTTGAGGCAAAATATACTTATTATCGTACATGACTACGTTTTCGTGCAGAGTAGTGGAGGTAAGTGGAAATATTTCTCCATCGATTTCCTCTTCCACGTAGCGCAATCTGTCTGAGCAACTCCTGCTTGTGGTGAAGTCATCATGGCTTCAAATATTTCGGCCTTCCGGTATTTTATTGCAGAATCAGGTCGTACTGGCAAGCTTCGATGCATTTAGAGACGCGCTGTATTATGCACGAAAGATAATAGTGGCGCCGATAAATTCGTTTTCTTGATTTACCTTCTCCAATCATGTCCGAAATTTTCGCAAACATTAGTAGTCTCTTGTCCTTTGCAAATGTTCCTCTTTACATCTCCCAGTCGACAAGACTTATTTGAATGATTGCTTCTATAACGGGTATATTAGAGCCTCTCTATAAAAATGTACTGTTGTAGATAGGACTCGGCGTACTTACCCCTTTTCCTTACTACTGGGCCTGCTCTTACTTATAAATATGGCAAGTAGCCACATTAGAATAGGATTTGAGTAGTATTTGATTTACTCGAGCATTTCCTTTTTGTATACAAGTATTTAGTAAACCTCGTCTTCTTTGTTTTCCTAACTTAGTTTTCTCTTCCTTCGATACTCTCTCTAACTACGGTCTTCCTAGTTCTCGGCTCTTTTTAACAAAGACAACATTACAAATGGGTTTCTGAATGAGGTTGATCCAAGTAAGAGGAGGAGGTAAGAAATGAAAAATCATGAAGATATGTTGGAAAGATAACGGTTAACGCAAGACTTGAAGAGGTTAAGATTCTAGTGATTGGGAAAGCATCCTCTCGGGAGTTCATTACTTAAGTTAGTGATGCTTGAGAAGATGTCCGAATGGAATTTCCTTCTTACTAACACAATACGAAGAGGAATGGGGTCGGCTTGATTCAGGGATTTGATTGTCAATTTTATTTGTTGGACAGTTCTGTTATTTCTTTTTGCATTTGACCATAGCTACTAACTCATCACTCTTATAAATATAACAAGTAGCCACATTAGAGTAGGGTTTAAGGAGTAACTACTTCTCAAATCCTACTTAAATCCTAGTTGATTCACTTAAGTTTTCTTGTGCTATGTATAGGTATTTAATGAACTTCTTTGTTTCCCCTATCTAGTCTTCCTAATTCTCGGCTATTTTGAACTCCTATATATGAGTATTTAAAAAACCTCTTCTTTGTTTTGCTTACCCAGTCTTTTGTTCCTTTCATACACTCTCTAACTATGGCCTTCCTAATTCTCGGCTATTTTGAACTCCTATATATGTGTATTTAATGAACCTCTTCTTTGTTTTCCCTACCTAGTCTTCTATTCCTTCGTTACTCTCTCTAACTACGGCCTTCTTAATTTTCGGCTATTTTGAACAAACGCAACATTACAACAGATACCTTCACACAATATATGTTCCCTTTCTAGTATTTTCCCTGCGAACGCCCTAAAAACATTTAATCAATATAAATGAATCGCTTGCCTTCACCAGTTTATTTCATTATCGATTTCGTATAAAAACTAATCGCTTAATTCTCTTGCTTAGTAAGTTCATCGTAGTAGTAGTAGTTCTGAAATGACTTTTTTAAAAAATAATATACAACTCTGCCGATCTAGTTTTTTGTGGATTATGGTAGTTTCTCTTTAAGTGTTGTGTCAGGGTTGAGAGGGGATTATCATTTAATCAATCTGATATTCGCTGTATGCGGTGAGGATAATCATTCTTGAATCAATTTCTTCATGTCAGCTTGGCTGTGATAGCATTGATTGATTTGGTTAACGGCATGCCAACATCTTATGGGTCATTTAATGCCGAAATTTAATTTTCTTGGGAGCTTCGAAGAAATAAATATAAGATATGTTATTCTGCTTTCACAACTGAATACATGGTAGATGATACTCGACTTTTGTGCATATGCATGTTTGTGTGGACATAATTACGAGAGATGGTGACATGTATGTTTTATGTTGTAGTCTTGTTGAAGTTTTATTTTGCAATACAGTTTCATTTCTTTACGATATTATCAGAAATATGGATTAACATGAAAGTGTTCTTTCATGTTGATCGTTCGGTTAGGTCGTTGATTTCGTTTAGTGGTATATCAGTATTTGAGGATGGTTGTTTAATGACGAAAGGTAAATACTTTGAATAAAATTTTATGGCTTCAACTAAATATATTTTGGACGTCTGCCTTCCACAACAGATAAAATATATTGTTGGTCATTTTTACTATAAAATGTAATGTTGGTCATTTTACTATAAATATGTATTGTTGGTCATTTTACTATAAAATGTATTGTTGGTAAATATTTTTGATATCAAAAGGTATTGCTGATATTTTTACCATAATAATCTATTTTTCTAATTTCATAGTGTTTGTTTTTGTTCGTGGGTCTCTATTTGCCCATAGCTGGAACCCTAACAGATGCTACCATCACGGGATATGGTGGCCTTGGGAACAACAGCAATTAAGAGGTGATTCCACGCTCCTCAAAAACCTCCAATCTCTCGATCAGAGTCCTTGATGTAGTTTATTTCCATAGCCAGGGACGTAGTAATGTGGTAGTAATTCTGCGAGCATTCTCTGTATTTATCCATAGTCTGTCTGTGCTGTAACTCCATTATAAGTAGCCATCACTGTTTTTAAGTTCCCAATCTTAACTGCAGGAGGCACTTTTCTTTCAGTATCAATGTCATTATGACATTGCCTCTTTTAAATCCCTTTTGACTCCTCTTTTTCGTCCTTTGATATAAAATGACAATTTATTTTCAAAAATATGTTATTTCCACTGACTCTTAACAATTACAATACTAAGCAGAGTATTTACAAACAAATTTGCTATTAATCTGAGGTGGTGGGTGGGCATTTTTAAAAAGATTGCTCTTGAAAGCAAATAGACCAATGGCCACTCAAAAGGACAAATAATTTGTTTGGGGGAAATCAATCGTAGCCTCTGGTTGGTTAATTCCTCAGGTGACTGTTTTTTATTTGAAATAGTAATTTTTTTATTTGAAGTTTTTTTTTTTAATCTAATTTGAGAGTAAAAATGTGCCTTTCCGGGTCTGTAGCTTTGGTTCTATGCATTCATATTAGATCACCTCAAACACTAGCTGTCTTAAGGGCTTACGACCACATCATGTTGAAACACCGGTTGCCGAGCGATCACAGAAGTTAAGCAAAGTCGAGCCTGGTCAGTACCGACATGGATGACCGCTTGAGAATAGCAGGTCTTGTAAGCTTGGATATGCGGATGGTATAATGGGCTTACGGCAACATAACGTTGAAATACCAGTTCCCGAGCGATCACCGAAGTTAAGCAACATTGATCCTGGTCAGTACTTAGATGGATGAGCGCTTGGGAATACAAAATGTTGTAATCTTGGATGCGTGGTTTGTGTAATGTACAATGGCTAGGAATTTTTAATCAGAGAGCCGAGTTCTAATTCCCGTTGTATTCATAATATTCACTTACGTGAATCCACCTCTTCACCACCTGCTATGGGTTAATTAGTAACACTTGCATCACTAAACCATTATTATCTTAAAAAAAAATTCTTATAATCTAAAAATATTTTCTGACTTTAAATAACTTGCAAGGGGTTGATAAGCCGTATAAAACGAATAAACCAACCAAATTCAAATGTACAGACGATCTATATCTGTTTTAGAATCATGCGTTTAATATGGAGTTAGAAGATTTATGTTTCTATGTATTTTCCTCACTTCTTCAATATTCAGGTTTATTATATAAAAAAAAACAACTGGTATTGCTATAGTGCTAAAAACTGCAAAGTTATTTTGTGTATTTCGTTCTGTTTTATCGTATCTGATCAATTCTTCTGAATGTGATAGATTTTCTGGAACTCAGAAGCTTAGAACGATTTTTTGTTCAGAGAAATCAGATATAATGTGATAATCTCACCAGAATGCGTGATAGAAATGACATTTTGAATTTCCTCCATTGCTTAAAATATTGCGCAGTAAGATCGTTTCAAAAATCTTTCTTAATAAAACTGCTAGGATAATATATCCTGTTTCTGATTCCAAGCTAAAAAAATCCTGGTATTATTGGGCCAGATTATTGTCAATATTAAGGACAATTTCTTGCGATGAGTATCGACCACATATGGGTTCCTTTTTACCGTTCTTACAACATTGCAGACCTGTATTTGCATTTTGTCGAAAATCTTGAGATGTACAAAAAGAGCGTCAAACCAGATATGGCAGCAATATTCAATGCACCGACGATTGTTAGATGTATAAACGTGCAAGATGGATTCTGACGAGAATAAATTCTGCTACGATATAGTAAAACAATTTTCCTAGCAGCCGGCCTGTCAATTCATTCAAAATAATCTTTCCGTTACATGTCATTGGAAAACGTGAGATCATGAAAGCGCAATGAGTTGTTCTCCTAGCGGTTAGCATCAGCCATGATGATAGAAGTTAAAAAAAAAGATTCTGCTAGCCATTTCCTGCACCGGTTAACAACTGACTGTGACCATTTTCAAGCCTAGCTGCCGGATTTACTTTATCGGACGTCAATATACGAATCACATTTTGATTATCATGTATAAAACATGATAATCGACAGGAATTGAACCAGACGCTTCTTCGTAGCTAAATTGGTATAGCACGTTAGCCTATATTACGGTTCTGTGTAGGATACAGGTTCGATTCCTGTCGGAGGACGCGTGTTTTCTATGAGATTTCTCGGACATTCAAGACGGTAAATGTTGTTAATACTGTTTATTATAAACAGAGCATTTACTTAAATATTTGTGTGTATATAAATAACGTATAAAAATAAAATATATTAAAATAATTGTCGGACTTAGTCCATTTCGTAGTGTGTGATTTCATTTGTTTACGTTAAGATACGCTTCAAGCAGATATGGACGTCCGTGGCAAATCATGGGAAATTTGTAGTTTAAAAGCAGTAAAATGTGTATATGCAATGGTAGCACCTTTGCAGCGAAGCGGTCGACCCTGCTTTACTCAGGTGAATTGGGATACGGAACTATACTAGACCCGGTCTACATAAAACTCTCATGCATGACTCCAAGACGCCGCAGGGGAAAGCCACACTCCGGTTAACGGCATCGACCTGCCGACTAAACTCTGCAAGGATAGTCGGAAGGGAATGCCTCTCAACTCACATGTCCCAAACGGCCATCGGCCAGCCTCCAGCCTGGGTGTAGAAGCAGTGCGTTAGAGATCAATATTTTTACCAGTTAGCCGATGAACTTCTGAGAGTAGGGCCTGGTTAACCTCATTATCTCCAACGCAAAAGACATCAAATATCACCATGAACCACAATTACAACAGAAATATGTGGAATGGCGACCATAGCAGTGCTAAATGCGCTAAGTAAATAAATGAATGAATTAGTTACTTTATAATGAACATATTCAGGACTATTAAATTTGGTTATATAGTCTATTCTTCCATTAGTAATTAGATTTCTTTTTCTTCAATGATTAAAAAAACTGTTTGTAATCGCATTGTAGCTATCCAGCGTTGGTCTCTACTGCTACTGTAGGTTTCATTACTAGCCGAAGACATCGGTGTTGATGGAAGCGCCTTGGTATGGGCCTGCTATGGGATCGTCGCTACTGCCATCCTGGTTGTATCTGCCGGCGTGCGTGAGAACAGTGTTAATTTGATAATCAATCATTGACTGAAAAACGACTAATGCTAAAATTGCATGGACTTTTTGATTGGTCAGAAAAGATATTTGGGGTGGTATTCCTGAAGTGAATGGATGGAGCTGAAGGAAATTAAGACCCGTTTTTTTTTCTCATATGTGCAAAGGGTTTCGGAGTGAGTATTCTTTGAGTTAAAGAATTAGTGTTCCGAGAGGGTACGACAATCTTTTCAAATATTGTTTTAGCACGTTTGTCTCGATTACGTTCACTTCTGTATTTCATATTTGTACATAGGCTTTTTCAAAAGCATTTGCATCTAGCTCAGCCATTATCAATCTTATTATTTTATATCATTACATTTTTCTTTGTCCTTTAGTTATTGCACCTTTGATCCCTTGTTCTTCATTGATTCTAATATATTTGTAGACATCTTCCTAATTCAGTGCAAAAATCAGGTTTACTCATTTTTAATCAAGGCAATAAAGCCACTGTGACAAAAGGGGATTACTGATTGTGAGAGACTATGAGAAAACACTATTAAGGAAAGAGAACAATAAAAGAACAGCTTTTAAAATGAAAGAACATAACAACTGACATTAAATTGCAATTTTGGAAGATCAAAGTTGACTGAGGAGCAAAAGTTCCACAAGCAAAAAGTGCAAGAGAAGGAACTTATTTACAATATTTGGACTATTGTCCTCATCTTTGTCACCATATTTATTACAACGTCCGGCCTTCTTCAGTTGGTTGGAATGTCGTACTGAACCCTTTATGAGCTCTGGTAAAAACATGGAATGATAACAACAAAAATTGCAATATGAGCACTGGAAAAAATGTTTGCTGAAGACATTAGGTTTATAAGACCCAGAAATTCATACCCAGATGACCTCAAGGACACATGGCATAGTGGATAAAGGCGTTAGTTAGATCCAGTGACAGGACCCAAAAGAGTGTGAATTCAATACCCAGAGAACTTTCAATAGAGAAACTTTCAGAGAAAAATTAACAGGAGATAACTGATAACTGACATCCATTAAAACATGGCACGGGGAACTAGAACAGTTTACCCCAGTGAGCGAAATAAAGGTTTCAGTTCGACATTCCAACGAAATGAAACGTTGTAATAAATATGGCGACAAATATGAGGACAATAGTCCGAATAAAGTAAATAATGTATATAATAACTCATCTCAGAAATATAGACAGATATAGAAGGAACTGTTTTCATAGAACTTACGGTTACCTCTAGTCAAATATTCATTCACTTAAAATCGTATGTTGCAGATAAACGTGATTGGTCAGTTATACTGGACTTTGGCAGGGTCATTAGGTCAGGGTATTAAATGAGAAATATTTATTTTTAACTCATTCTGGGTTTTGCCTTTTGTAATTGATAGCATTAGAAAACAGATTTGTTTATGGCTTGTGCAGTTACCGAAAAGCATTTAATCGTATGTTAGGCATCTTATCTGTTCGAATGGATTTTTTTCTTTTTTTAAAAGAGTTTGGTGCAGTTTTTAATCCTCGATTTTGTTCCTTTCCTTCGATCTCCTGCTATTTCTTTTATCTTTTGATACAACTTGCCAATATTCTTAGAGAATTATTTACATATCTCCATATTCTATTCCAAAACTTTTTCCAATTTTCATTTGATGCTGTTCTTTCCATAAGCTTCGGCGATTTTTCTATTTCCCAAAATAATTCTTCCCTATTCATTTTAAAATGTTTGTTTTGTTTATAAAATTTCTTCTTCTTTTTTCGTAACTTCCCTTCTTGGGAGATTTTCAGTTGGTTTCCTTGTATTAGCACTTCTTTTACCCTTCTCATAAAGTTCGGTATATTTAATTACGTACATATACCATTGGGAAAGGTATGAATCCATCTCTTCACCCGCCATCCATGGGTCCAATAGTAGGACTTGAATCTAGAAAATGATTGCTCTATTTAAAAAAAAAATTAATGCAATATTCGCTCACAAAAATACATTTCGGTTTTAAATAACCCGAAAAAGGTTGATAATCCATAAAACACAAATCAATCAATCAGTCCAGTCTTCTCTGCTCTTAGAATTCTTTTCATTTCTTTCACATCTTCATTTGCTCGTAGTTCTTACCATTCGCTTCGTAAAGAGAATAATATTGCTTATTGTCTGTCTATATTACTGAGACGAGGTATTGTAACTATTTACGCTATTTACATAATGTACCCATTTATACTATAGGTGATATACGATGGAATTTCAATGTATGTCACTGAAGAAGGCGGGAGCGTACAACGGTCGAAACGTCGTGAAAATGACAATAAAGATGAGGGCAACACTCCGAACAATATAAATATTGTAAATAGTTAAAAAACCTCATCTCAGAAATCTAGACACATCCAGAAGGAGGCCGGGGCGTACAATGGCTGAAACGTCGTGAAAATGACAATAAAGATGAGGGCAACAGTCCGAACAATGTAAATAGTGTAAATAATATTGCTTATATTTTCAAAGGATATGACTTAGTGGAGATCCATGGTCGCCAATTCTCTTAAGAGACTCGGCACATACAAAGAATGTTTCGTACATAGATGGAAAAAGTTAATAACCAGAAATTTGGTACTTGGTCTATGCCAAGGGATTTACAGCTTTTTGTTTTTTTTTAAAGATTTTTACTTTTTCTAAAGTCTTTATATTTTTTATGCTTTTATTTTCATTTCTCCGCAAATTCTTCAGAACTCTGTCGGTTA